ATAATCCCTACTCAAGTTCGTCACTTTAATTGGAAAAACTCTTTAACTCATAATCCATAACATATATCTTTTGGGGGCATAAAAGGGGTGTGACAATAAATATGCCATAATACGTAGGTGGAAACCTTGGATTCCCAGCATAGGCGGATCCGGGATTTTGGTAGGATGGGTGCACTATTAAGAAGATGTGGATCTAGAATATAAATTTTAAGGGTTCAACCTTTAGTTCTTACGATTGCGTACCCATTGCATTGGAATTATAAGTTCAAATTTTTATTTTTTAAAATAGTAATTTTCTTACATCTATATCTATTTTCCATATTGAAAATATTGAGATCAGTTGAACCCATTGACTATATGCCAGCATACACTGCTACTAGTTATAATATACACATTTTATTTAATCATATAAGATTTTACGGTGACAAAAGAAGAATAGGAATTTCAATGTGTGAAAATTTTGAAAGAATTAACCAAACAAAAAAAGAAATAAAAGGAAAAAGTACTTAATTAATACGCAAAAAATAACACGAGACACGCCTATCTCCCATGTGCGTCTACTTCTAGAAAAAAAAGGGAAAAACAACAAGATTGACATAAGATTTGAACTCACAACTTCACCTAGAGAGGTAAACTCAATAACTATCACATCATATAATACTTTGAGAATGAGTGCACACATATATATTTAAATATTTTTTGAAAAAATATAACATTACTATACATGATTTATGGCGAAAAACATGGGTTCACATGTCCCATGGACCCCAGATACGCCCCTGATTCCCAGGCAAATACTACGAAGAGGGTTTTGACTTTGTTTTCGGAGTTAAATTCATAGTACTACTTTAATTCATAAGATCTATGGGCAGATTCTCAAACGTCAACATTTGAATTATACACAATAAAGATTGGGGAATCTTTGATCTACTAGGTGGAAAATTATCCTCCATTAAAATCCTTTTTACTGTGCTGTTGATCTCTTGTAGCTCTTAAAAGCAAGTGGTTGCGATTACATGTATGAATTAAAACTAGTGAAATTTTACATAAGAAATATCATTAAATTTTAAAAAAGAAAAATAATGACATATAGTGGATGAGAGAGATAATATTTGTAAATTAATATGGATATAAAAGATAATTCTACATACTGATAAATCATATATTTAGCATTTTAATTTGAATTAGATTCTAGGTAACTGCATTTTTTCCTGATTTTCTTTTTAAAAGGAAATAAAAGAGAAAGGATTTTTAAGAAAAAAATTTCACTTACATATATCATAATTAATGAGGAGGAAGTGAGAGGTTAATACATGACTCTTTTAAGTACAATTATATGTTAGAGGCATGTAAATAGATAATTTTTTCATTAGATAATAAAACATCGGCTTTGATAAAATTTCTCCTATTCAAATTAAAGAAATATGAAATAAAAGTAAAGAAACTAATAACGAAAATAAAACAAAACAAAACAAAAGAAATATGTGAAAATTACTGCGTATTCTTTTGTCTATTCCTTCTCGTTATGCCCTTTTTAGCCTTCATCTTTGCCTTTTCTTTAATTTTCTATTCATTAGTTTCCCTCTCATATTCTCCATTCCAAGGAGAACAAAGTACTTCACTTCAGAATACTTGCTCAATTATTTGTATCCTATCAGCAAAATAAAAAAGTTTTTTTGGTCTTACAAATAATAGGCAATTTAAAGAAGAAAATCAAAACATAACTTTCAAAAAGAAAGATAATTATCACAATACTTCAAAAAAAATCAAAAGTTACAAAGTAAACCAAATACTTTATTTTATTTTGTCGTACATATAATACATGATCCAATCATACGAATAAAATGAAATATAATTTACTACTTACTTTATAAAAATCACAAGTAGAAATGACGTAATTTCTATTATACAAGAAACAAACATGCCGATGGCTCAACAAAGAAGAACTTGTGCCTTCTCTGTGACTTTTAGCTATAACATTTTTTACTGACTAAAAGAAATAAGAAGTGTTAGCAAAATATCCAATGAAGGGCGTATTTCAATGTTTAAAATTTATCCCTTTTACACAATGAGCTGTTATTGGTTAGTAGTTAGCAGACTTCCAATAAAGTTTAACTCATAAGTAATTAATTTGAGTCTAAACGAAAATACAAACTTGCGACAATCAAAAGTTCATAGAAAATAAAGCGAAAGAGAACACACGAGAAAGTAAATAGAGAAGAAAAAGATACAACTTGAGACCTTAATCTTAAGAAAATAGAAGGAAATAGGAATGCAAAATCAGTGTATAATTTTTCGAGTTCTTGACGACACCCCCTCCCGCAGTATCGATCATTATTAAAGAGCCTTCATCCTCAAGCCAAACTAAAACATGAATCGAATGCTGCAGTAAATATGACAGCATTACTATTTCAGGTAAAGAATAAAAAAGGGTAGTCTTGGGTAGGGTTCTCATGAAATAAAGTTATGAATTTATATAAGAAAAAATAGATGAATACCATAAGGTATTTTAATTTTTAAATTAAATATTTGGAGTTATGAATATGAAAAACATAGGAGTTATGAATATTATTAAGAGTAGAAGTTAAGGTAGTATGAGTTATGAAAATAAAATTTTAAATTTTAAAGTAAATAAAGGACAACAAAGATAAATGGAAATGGTATTCAAGTGCTAAAGCTATGTAAGCTTTGTTCTAGAAAACTACTACATGGGTTCTTTATTACTCATTTACTCCATTGTGTTAAATAGATTAAATGAGAGAAATGAAGGGGAAGATTAAAAAAAAAGAGATAAATTATCATAAACTTACACATTAAACATTTGGAGGTTATGAATATGAAAGGGATTGGAGTTATTGAGACTATTAAAAGTATAGGCTATGAAGATAAAGAGTTATGAGTTATGAAAATATTTTTTTTATTTTTAATATAAAATAAATAGAAAGAACGATGAAAAATCCCCCCAAAAGGAGAAAAAAAGATAAATATGTTTTTTGGCTTAAGAAAGGTGACGTTAACTTTTATTTATTTAATTATGTATTCGACAATAATTTAGCAGCCTTAAGCTTCACCTTATGCTTATGATGAGGACACGAGTTAGAGATTTAATTTTGAAGTCCCATTTTGCGAGCCAACGTTCACTTCACTTTGGAGCACAGACCCTAGGGCCGCTTATCAGGCGGTTATTTACTCTTAACGGTTCAGTTTATCGGTTATCGACTTTTAAATGTATTAATTCGCTAGTCACCCGATAAGATATTAGGTGAATTGGTATATCGATTTAGCTATTATCGGGCGGTTTATCGGCCTAGTTGTCCTTCCAACCTGCTGTGTCTATATCAACAGCCTGCCCAAGAATCTCATTTTCAGAGGCATACTGGTTATGAGTCCAATCATCGAATATTCTATCTTTATCTAAAAGTCTGCATTTTTGACAATTTATCTTTTTTTGTCCTGCAGCTTAGGCAGTACCCAACTGTTGAGCAAATGCCGCCGCCTTATTTGCCATCTCCAGTAACTATCACCAATTGACAAATTACAATTGAACATTTATAAGCTGAGACACTTGAGCGACAAGCTAGAGTTTGAAATGTATTAAGTGGTTGACAATGAAATAGTTCCCGGTGAAACAAGGCATAAATGCGCACAGAGCATACAAGTACATACACACAAATGCACATAGTATATATCAGTAAGCATTAAGAGATAGAAACGAGCTATCTCCATCATAATTCAATTGCCAGTAAGAGACGAGATTTTCAAATCAATAATCCGTTGATAGGAAAAGAACTATGGAAGGGAATTTTATTATTTAATATACATATGGATAAGAATATATATATATATATATATATAAAACAGGATAACGGTTTATCCGATAAGAAAATTGAATAATCCGCTCCCAAACCGATAAGCCGTTAATAATAAAATTTTAATCTATTTCACATCCGTTAAACCGATAACCCGATACCAACAAGCTACTAAGCCATTTTTGCGGTTCGATTTTCGATTTCAGTTCGATTTTGGACACCCCTCCCCACCAACGCCGTGTACAGTTCTTTGTAATATCAAGTCTAAAAATGATATCATGTCAGTCAGATAGTTCATTACTTCCTCGTAAAGTGAAATTTTCTTCTTACTAATATTGTCCCATAAAAAAGAAAATAAATGAGAAATACAAAACTTTTAATTCCTTTTTACCCAAAGAAGGTTCAACCGATAAATAAATTTCTTGAAGTCTTTCATAAGCTATATTGCTCAGGAGGAGAAACTCTATTTTCTTCTCAAATTAGCAAATAGTTTTTCATGTTGTTGATGTCTGCATATTATTTTTCCTTCCTCCAAATATGTTTAAAAGGGGCATTGTTGGTTTCAAACGAATATTTACAATCTTCAATAATAACTCTAAAAAGTTGCTATTGTATATCCTCTTCGATAAACTGGACTGGACAGCAAATAGACATCAAGTAGGAACTCGATTGTTTTAGTGAAACAATTAAATGACAATTGAATTGTTTCTTTCGTTATCTTAAAAAGATAATACGAAAATCACATTCTCCGTCTCAGTAAAACTTACTAGTAGCAGCACAAAAATAAATTAGTCAAACCATTAAAATTTGGTACATTAAGTAGGTGTTGGGACTTACAAATTATAATTTTTAGAAAAATAGTTGTATTTGGAGTTAAGTTAAAAAATAATATTTAGAACTCGAAATTATGTTGGACAGTATTTCACATGAAAAAATATTACAGTTTTATCGGTTGAAAAAAAAGTTTTTTCTCGAAATTTTGAAAAAAACTGGTCAAAACTACTTTTGGGTTTTTAAAAAATATATTTTTGATTTTTTTTCAAAAACTTTTCAAATTTCATGGAAAAACACACTTTAAAAAAAACAAACAATCGAAAAAAGAAAAAATTATGGACAAACGGGTCCTAACCATCTTGGAATATTTTCATTTTTTTTTGGGGTCCGAAATGATCTTTATTAATTTCCCAAATTAAACATTGAACTCTCTCTCTCTCCATTTCTGAGAAACAGGGGGGTCTCGCTGAATTGGGGAAGAAATTGAAGACCCGATTTTAACCCCCTATCCGACCCGTTTCTCTGCAAAATCACCCGGTCTCCGTTACATGATGCCCTAGTTCTTGGGGGCATCATCATCTGTACAGTTCCTTTTTTTGATTTCAACATTTTGGGACCATACCATTTTGGGGCCCATTTCGTTGATTCCTCATTATCAGAAACAATAGCTGAAAAACCCCGTACTAGTACAAGTCTTTGCAATTTTCCGGACCCTAATTCGTTATATGCCCGATTGTTAAAGCTCCGATTTTTTTGGTAAAAGAGTTGATTGGAATGAAACAGGTCAAATGAAGCAAAGTGGGTATTGAAGATTCATATAGTTGACCCGAATTAGCTTTAAATGGATCCCTCATTGTTGATCTTAACGTTGGGTTTCTGCCTTTGTTTCCTTATTCTTGCCGTACAATCAAGTCCTTCGCCTCCTCCTTCTCCGTCTCAGCAATCTCGACCGCCGCTGCCATCTGCTCCCTTATCACCACCACCACCACCATCACCACGGCCTCCTCCAACACCCCACCAAAGTCGCCGTCCTCCACCACCTCCAAAAAAGACTATCTCCGACAGTAAAAACTCTAACCACGGTAAAAACCACCACCATAAATCTAACGGGAAATTGCATCCACCTATAAAGCAAAAGAAGTTAAATTGGGGGAAGAAATTGGGGTTCATGTTTGCAGGTGTTACTGCGATATTGCAAGTGTGTGTGCTGGCGTTCTTGATAATCAAGAGAAGGCAGCTGTTAAAGGCTGATAGTAGTAGATTTTGAAGGGACATTTGTATATGGATGTGTATATCAGCTCCCATTTCTTTTAGTTATATGATTCTCTTTTGGCGGCGGAGCATGTTAATTGCAGTTAGCCTTATTGATTCAGATTTTTAACACGGCATCAATGGAGTAGAAGGATTAAGGATACAGCTGAAATGTTGGTTTCTGCATTTGCGTTGGTCGCTCCTGTAAATTGGTAATTTTTTATCCGCATTCATTATCAAATTTTCGTTTTTTCCCAGATTTTCTCAGTGTTCTTCAATTTCTGTTTTTAATATTTCGTTTTTCTTTTTAATGAATGAGTAGCATGCATAACTCTTGAGGGTAACCTTGGCGTAACTGGTAAAGTTGCTGAACTGGTAAAGTTGCTGACATGTTACGGTGGAAACAGCCTGTTGCAAAAATGCAGGTAAGGCCCTTGTGGCCCGGGCCTTCCCCGGACCATAGCGGGAGCTTAGTGCACCGGGTTGCCCCTAATGTATGATTCCTATGAATGATTTAGAACTCATTGAGATTCTTATGTATAACACGATTTTGAAATCTATTTTCTCTGTAATTATGCTGTTGCTTTTGATGAGCTTTTATGCAAAGGGAGTGTAGGAGATAATTGAATATTTTAGTAGTCTGAAGCTACAAACAGCTTTTGTCAAAAGTCATCTATGATGAGTCCTTTTTTGCTGAAGTATTTTGCATATGTTTGTTATGAGGGTTGGTCTCATCTTTAGCAGAAATGTACTGTACTACTGTAAAGTTGTATCCTTTAATCATGGTAGTACAACAACAACAACAAACCCAGTGTAATCCCACAAGTGGGATCTGTAGATGGTAATGTGTATACAAACCTTACCCCTACCTTATGAAGATAGACATACTGTTTCCGATAAACCCTCGGCTCAAGGACCATTATCCATGATAGTGAACTATAAAAATGCAGCTTTTACAGTGCGTGTTTAGGTGGACTAGTTTAGCTTTGAGAAATACATATCTAGGTGCCAGATTAGGATAGCCTTTATTTCTTGTTGCAGGAATGTGAAAGAATCAGTTTGAAGTTCTCAACTAGGATAATCTATTGGTTACATTATATCTTTCAAACATGAAGTATCCTATACCCAGCATAATTTAATTAAGAGATAGAAAGGATCCGAGGTGAAAATTCATGGTACAACTTGAATTAACTCTCTTTTATGTCTCCTACCAAAAACAAAAAACTCTCTTTTATGTCCTTATCAAAAAAATAAAACTCTTTTATGTCAAAAAGGTTCCACCTTTTCTTAGAAACTAACTAAAGTAAGGTTTAATGTAGATAATGGAGACTTTTCTAAAACAATTACTCATATTTGATATGACTTGTCCAAACGAGCTCGCACATATCTCGACTAATCCACCTAACAACCTTCTACATCCCAGAGAATGGGGCATAGATAGATATTCCTTAAACTTCAATTGATGTAAAACTAATTTCTTGACAACAGGAGTTGCTTGGTTTTTCCTTGAATTAATTTGCTGTTGGCTGCTGCTAATATGTGATTTGATGTTCTGTCTAACAGCAAAAATATCTTTGTTACTTGTGGTTTCTTGTTGTGTTTCTCTAGGAATGCTAACTCATGACTGTTGTTTTTGGTATTGTAGGTCTCAAATGAAAGGATTAAAGATGATATCTTGCCTTTTTGTCAATTTTAAGGAACTGGCTTCGATTTGTTTTGGAGAACATAATGTTGTCTGGTGAGAAAAGAATGCTGTAGGGAAACGAGCATAACTATTGCTGGAGGCATGACCTGTCATCATCAAAGCTGAAATATGATTTCTAATGTATAGGTTAAACACCACAAAACTATTTAATTGTTGGTATAATCTAACTGTTGTACATGATACGAAAATTTAAACACGGTCAAACATGTATCTCTATCTTAATGTGCTTTAATGTGTTACTTATAACATATAGACCTAAAAACAGATAACATGGAATGTGCAAAAACATGAGTTGCTAGCTAGGACCACTAAAAAGATGTTATCTTTTGTCTGAAATATGTTTCTATTCGACATGATACATATTTCGTATTTGGTCTGAGCATGTTTATTTTTGGCATGATAATACGAGGGATTGTCATTTTCCCTTTCCTTTTGTGCATGGAGGTGAATGAGAGCACCTGATTTTTTTCTTTTGGTAACTCTAAACGAGTTATATACAATTTATTCTATACTTGGGATTAATTTTACCATATGATCCAAACTATATAGTTCGACTTCAAAAAGTCAAATTCTGCCACTTAAACACATAGGCTGAACTATGTCACATAAAATTTTGTTTTTGATGTTAAAACCGATATGAGTTGAGCTTAAATGGAGAAGCGAAGATTCATGTAGTTATCTCAAACTTGTTTGGACTTGAAATGCAGTTGTTGAAATAACTTTCTTAAAGTTAAATAACTCCATTGCCAACCCAAGCCTTCTTAAGATAACAAAGGGTCATCAACTCATTATAAAATGTAGATATCATCGATGCATTCATCAAGGGTGTGGCCTAGTGGTATATCATCAATCGGAGGCTCCGGGGCGAGCTCAATTTTAAAAGTTTGCATTTATTTCTACAGCTATATGATTAAAAGTGTTAATATACGTTAATGTTATAACTTTAGGACGTGGTAAAGCAAATCATCGTGTTGAAAAATACCAGGAAAATTTCGGCTTTTGTGTTAGTGAGATCTATTAGAAATTCAACCCACGATTTGGCTCTTATCCGATCTTAGGGAAACAAAATATTTTCTAAGTTATACATACTAATAGTAATTTTTTTATATTGAATGTATTTAGTCAACCATTCACCTTCTTTTATGTTTACTAGTCTTATGATACGCGCGTTGCGCGTGTACCCTATGTTATTGAGTAAACTATTTTACAAACTATATAGATATTATTTAAAAGTATGTTTGAGCTATAAAATAAGATAAAATAAGCAAAAGTGCTGAAAATTACAACATGAAAGGAGGAATTAACATATGTCAAAGTAATACTTCCACCATCTAAATTTATGTAATGATATTTTAACTGAGCAGGTGTTTAGAAAATAAATAAATTTGAATTATGTTCCTGAATAATAATATTGTTGGAGGACTCTAGTTTTCTAGAGGCAACCAATGGATATAGAAAATTATAAAATCAAAGTAGATCGGTGCATATCCATGATATTAAAGCAATATCAGTTAAAGTTGATTTTTTTGATTAAAAGTAAACTACAATAATCTACAAGTTGCATAAGAAGCTGACCTTGGCCCTATACGTCGATCACTAATTGACAGTATGACTATCTCCATGCATCGTAGTGGAATACATAAAATCAATTCTCCAAAGTCAAAATAAAAATTACACATAAAACACCATAAGAGGTATCAAGAAAACAGAAATAAAATCTAAGAATGATACATACGCCAAAACGATATCTCAGGTAATACCAACATGTAGCATAAATCATAGAAGGCAGTAAAACAAAACTACACAACCGAACTTTAACTAAAACTTCAATCACATGATATCAAGCCAAGGATCAAACCAATATAATATCGACAAAGAAAAACAGTTGAGAAAGTAATAGATTTGTAGCTAAACTCATACTTTTTATTATTAAGGTTCTTTCATGTATGTGCTTTTCTATTTAGGTTTTTATTTGTTTACTTGATTACGAATAGGAGTGTTATTTTACCGATTTCATAGGAATGAGTTTTATAAATCTGATATAGTAATAATGATATAAGGAACTAAACTTACACAAAAGAGACAATGAAAATTGCATCCTAAACGAACACAAAAGGGACAATGAGAAAAAGACATATCGTAATTAAAAAGACAGAATCTAAAGAATCATAAAACTAAAGAAAATAAAAACCTACGGGAAAGGATCCCAAGAATCCTAACACTAAAGGAAACAAGAACCAAAGGAAAAAAAGAACTCGTAAGGCAAGAATTCCAAAACCCAAATAATGCAAATTCTAAAGAATTCTAAACCTAAAAGGAATTAAGCACACAACACTTTTTGATTTTTTCCAAAAAAATTAACGATTACATTTACAACTATATCCAACATATAATGCACTTACGAAGGATAAAAAAGGCTAACGACATTTCGATAGGGCTTTCGTGCTTTTAATATAGTATAAATAGTGCAAACACGATTATGTAAATATCTTTCGCATTGTAAACAAGATTATGCAATTATCTTCGGCATTGTAACTCAAACTCATTTAGAAAATATTTTGTTATAAGCCGTTGCCAGAGGCGAATCCAGGATTTCAAGAGAATGGATGCACTGTTGTGAAGAAGTGGATCTAGAATTTACACTTGACGAATTTAACTTTAGTCTCTTACCATGAACCCACTACACTTTTGAAATTATAGGTTCAAAATTATATTCTTTTTAAAATTTTAGTAAGTTTCACATATATATCTATACTCCGTACCGAAAACAAAACCGTTTGGAGTGGGATTTGAACTGCCAATGTCACTTGTAGAGGTGCACCCAATAATAATTGCATCATAGGATTCTTTGAGCATGGGTGCACACACATATATTTAAATAATTTTAAAAAAATATGACATTGTTATATATGGTTTAGGGAGAGAAGTATGAGTTCATGTGAACCCACCCATACCCCTTAACCTAGATACGCCTCTGGCCGTTGCATTCCATTATGCAAAAAATAAAATAAATAAAAAGTAGCCCGATACACTAGACTCCTGTTATGCTGAATTTCCTTTTAATGAGAAACAATTCTAGTAAAGTGGAAATGAGGTTCAAAAATTATTTTAAATCACATGTCCAAAAATTTAGATGTGACATTTTTGAAAATTCTTTGATATAAAATCATGGTTAAGTCACTGTGTGCATGTCTTATTAGAGTATTATGTGATCCTATCATAGGTGTTCATGGTTCGGTTTGGATCTTTTTTTCATAAAAAGAAATCAAACTAAGTAAGTTAGTTTTTTAAATATTGGAACCAAACCAAATTAATTAAGTCGATTTTTTCGGTTTTTATCATTTTTTTGGGTTTTTCGATTTTTATAGGTTTTTTCTTAAAGATGAGACATATACTAGCTACCAAACACATATTGTGGCAACTACATTTCCAACGTAACACTATCAAACCAATTGCTCTTTAGAGAAATCTCTCATTTACCAAAATATATAAAAATTAGGAAACTAGAAGTAAACGCTCTCTCGGCGCATGTTACGTTAGGGTTTACTAACATGCGCCCAATCTGAGATGACGAGGAAGAAGAAGCAACCGGGTCCGGCACCGGTCTCGCCCAAAGCTCCTGTGCTGGAATCTAGGCAGATAACACCAGAATCAGGTGTTACTCCAGACCTTAGCTCCAATTCAATTAGGCCATTGGCTTCTAGGAATGGGGAGTTCTCCTATAGTGCTACAAACAGGCTCCCCACCGGATATTGCAGAAACTCCGCCGGAGCCTGATGCAGGGGCTATGAATATGGCGAGGAAATTGACTTTCTCTGCCACATCTAGTGGAGTCAAGCCTACAATGGCTGAAGTAGTTAAAGGAAATATAGAGCAACACACGGGATTGAAGCTAGATTACTTTCCACCTGTAATGAAAGATGGAGTGAAAGTAGTCAAGCTAAATCCCCAGGAGATAGCTGACTAGAATAAGAAGTGGAGTCTAGCATTAATTGGTTATGTGATTGACAGTAACCCTACCTTCAAGGAAATTCTCAAATTCGTCTATGAAGTCTGGAATTTCGTCAATACACCTCAGGTATTTCTTTATAATAATGGATATTTCATCTTCAAATTTGAGAATGAGAAAGATAAAGCAACGACTCTCCAACAAGGGCCATACACGTTCAATTATAGGCCATTCATTCTTAAATAGTGGGATCTAGAGTTTCAAATGAATAAGGAATCTACTCAAATTATTTCTATGTGGGTTATGTTTCCAAATCTGCCAATTCAGTTCTGGGCCTCTGGCAATTTGGGTAGAATAACAATCTGTCTTGGGAATCCTGTATGTACTGATAAACTAACTGCTCAAGAGCAAAGGATTGCTTATGCTAGGATATTGATCGAGATGAATATATCCCAGCCTTTGCCTAACTCACTCTCTCTTGAACTACCTAATGGAAAATACTACTCACAATCTATTGAGTATGAATGAAAGCCAATGTACTATCAAGATTGCTTGAAAGTAGGGCATATCACAGGGAAATACAAGGAGGGACCAACAAAACCTAAACATACTCAACAAAATAACAAAAAATAAAATAAAAAAAGTTGGAATGGAAAGCTAAGGATGTGCCTAATCAGACATGAGACAATTGGACTAATGCTCAAGTAACTGAGCAGGATTCTAGCAAGGAGCAGTCTAAGAATGAACAAGAAGCTAAAGGGGATGGGGCAACAACAAAGGAAACAAATTGACAGGGGGAAGAAAGCAATGCCAATTACTACTGATAAGCACCAGGAGATTGATGAACTGGAACTCATGCTCAGAAGGAATCAATTCAGCGCTTTGAGAATCCAACCAGAGGTTACCACTAATAAAGTGGTAAGGGGCACTAGTCCAACCAAGAAGCCTCCATGATCTTTGGATCATGGAATATTAGAGGGCTGAATAAGCCCTACAAGCAGAAGGAATTCAAATCCTTTCTGCTTATGAATAAAGTGGCTCTTTTGGGCTGCTTTGATACAAAAGTTAAGGCTAGAAGAGCAGGAAAAATACAAAGGAAGTTAGGGGCAGAGTGGCAGGTTTATTGTGATTATGTAGGTTGCCCAAATGGAAGAATATGGGTCTACTGGAAACCACAACTGGTGGAAGTTGATATCCAGTTCTTAAAGCCTCAGATTGTTCGCTGCAAGGTAAAATATAAAGACTCTCAATTTGCATGCTATGCAACTTTCGTATATGGATACAATACCATAGATGGAAGAAAAAACATCTGGAGACAAGTGAGATCAATCAACAGTATGATGGTAGATCCTTGGATTATTCTTGGGGATTTTAACACCATATTATCTGTTAATGACAGAAATAATGGAACACCAATTCAACAAATTAAAACACAAGATTTTCAAGACTGTGTGGATGAGGCTGCACTTGGTCAGATCAGAAGAAAGGGATGCCAGTACTCTTGGTGTAACAAGAGGGATCCTGGAGACAGGATCTATAGCTTGATAGACTGGCCATTTGACAATGCCCAATGGATTAGCATGTATAGTAGTATAGAAGCTCACTATTTAAATCATGACTGTTCAGACCACTCTCCTATACTACTTACTACTAATACTGTCAGACAAAAATTCCCAAAGCCATTCAGACTCCTTAATGTTCTACTGCAACAATATTCATTCAAAGAAGTGGTGAAGTCTATATGGGAATCTAATGTACGTGGATATGCTATGTATGGAGTTTGTAAGAAGTTAAAGAAAATAGAACTTGCCGTGAAGCAGATGAACCAAAAGATGAATAAGCTGGATCAAAAAATTGAGGACCTGCAAGCAAAGCTTAAAGATACTCAGGAAGATCTGGAAGCAGACCTTTACAATGCTCAATTGATTATAGAAGAGAAAAAGTTAGTGCTTAAATTGGAGCAATGGGCCACAATTCAAGAGAGAGTACTTAGACAGAAGCCCAGAGTTGTTTGGATCACACATGGGGATTCAAACTCTAAGTTCTTCTATGCTCAACTCAACGCTAGGCATTCCAGGAACAACATTACAACTATATGCAATGAGCATGGAGTAAAACTAACAGATCCCAAGCAGGTGCATCAGGAATTCATAGAGTTTTTTCAAAAGCTGATGGGAAGCAGAGCTCAAGAACTACCCCGTTTAAACACTCACATTGCCTAGGATTGACCTTGCTTGCAGAGGGATCAACAAATGTTGCTGATTCAACCTGTCACAAAGTTGGATATTCTTCAGGCATTGAGAGAGCTACCAAATGATAAGGCTCCAGGGGTGGATGGATTCAATGTAGAATTTTTTAAAGAATACTGGAATGTAATAGGGGAGGAAGTAAGTGTAGTTGTCTTACAATTCTTTGAATCTGAAAAAATGCTAAGAGAGGCCAATTGCACTACTCTTACCTAGTGCCAAAAATGATAAATTCTACCTATGTGAAGGAATACAGGACCATAGCTTGCTGTACAACTTTATATAAGCTGATAGCAAGAATTCTCACTGCCAGACTCAAATTGATAGTAGATAAAATAGTTGGAGCCTCATAATCAGTATTTATAGCAGGAAGGAGTATCATATATAATGTCATTGTGGCACATGAGCTTGTAAAAGGTTATACACAAAAGAGAATCTCTCCTAGATGTATTATCAAAGTTGATATAAGGAAGGCATATGACTCAGTGGAATGGGACTTTCTTAAAGTTGTTGTGCTAGAATTTGGATTTTCTGGGAAATTTATTGGGTGGATCATGAAGTATGTGACTACTGTGAGCTATTCCATTTTAATAAATGGTGGAATCACTCCAAAGTTTATGGCAAAGAAAGGACTGAGACAGGGTGACCCCATGTTCCCATATCTATTTGTCTTGGTCATGGAATATCTCAACAGATCCTTAAAACAACTACATCATAACCCAGACTTTAATTATCACCCGAGATGTAGTAGAATGAAGCTGGTGCATATTTGCTTTGCTGATGACTTGCTTATGTGCTGCAGGGGTAATAGAATTTCCATACAACTAGTGATTCAAGCTTTCAATCATTTCTCTAGTGTGTCTGGTTTGAAGGCAAATTTGGACAAAAGTTTATTATACATATCCGGTATTCCACAAATATTAAAGGATCAGATCCTGAATGAAATACAATTTGCATTAAGTGAGCTGCCATTCAAATATTTGGGTGTACCACTCTCATCCAAGAAGATCACCATTCAACAATGCATGCCAATTGTGGAGAAAATAATATCAAGAATCATGTGTTGGACTACTAAATTCTTATCTTATAGTGGGAGAGTACAACTGAACAAGAGTGTTCTTTTTTAAGTGCAAACATATTGGACTCAGATCTTTGTGTTACCAAAGAAAGTTATACAACTAATCACCAGCATTTGCAGAACCTTTCTATAGACTGGGAGTTGTGAAGCCTCAAGGAAAGCACTGATCTCATGAGAATCACTATGTATGCCAAGGGCTGCAGGAGGTCTAAAGTTGATAGACTTCAATCTTTGGAATAAAGCAGCTATCTGCGAGCTATTATGGGCAGTTGCATCAAGAAAAGAATCTATGTGGGTGCAGTGGATACATGGTTACTATATAAAGAATAAAGATCTAGCTACTATGAAGACCCCCTCCCCCACCCCCACAAGCATGTTGGCTCGTGAGGAAAATCTTTGATGCAAGAAGCTGGTTTGAAGATATGAACTTCATGGTGGAATTGCAAAAGTACAGCAGTGATGGTGGCTTCAGCATTAAGAAAGCTTATTTATCCCACCACAATATCTGAAGGTTCCATGGAAATACCTCACTATGGGAGTACGTCAGTTGCCCAGACATCAATTCATTTTATGGTTAGCCATTAGACAAAGACTTGCAACTGTTGACAGATTAGAGAAATGGGGGATAAATGTCCCAAAGGATTGTGTGTTATGTTCAATGGGAGTCACAAAAATATTAGCACATTTGTTCTTTGAATGTAGCTATGCAAGACATATCCGGACCTCCTTACTGAGGTGGATGGTTGTGAAAGTAGACAACCCAAGGCATGGAATGAGGAAGTGAACTGGATGTCCAAGAGAAGTCGAGGAAGCAGAGCTAGAGCAGATGTACTGGCATGGTTGTTTGCTGCAACTGTTTATCACATATTGAGTGAACGAAATGCTAGAAGATTCCAGAATGAAAGGCAGGAAAGTCATCGTAGACTTAGAGAAATTGTTCTCCAATTACATATCAGAGGGCAGAATTACAAGAAATGGAGGAAGATATTAGACAGATTAAACAGTTATCCTAGCTAAGAGTAAATAGTATGTTTATAAATACAAATAGTGAATGCTCTTAGATAGGTAGGAATAGAGATGGCTAGTTCTTGAGTCCAAACAGAACTAGTGGATGTATATATATACAATTGGTTGAATAAAATTTTTATTTTGATAAAAAAAATAGATATATTGATGATAATTGAATCAAATAGTGATAAATAATTAAAGAGCTCAATTAAAAATAAATTATTTTAAACATGAAATAGATTCTCGTATTTAGCAAAAGAAAATTACAACTAGAATTTAAAGGCAAAGAATTAANATATATATATAAAGTTCTAAAAATGTATATTTTCATGTCACTCATTATCACAATGTAGTAGTAGTAATAACTGCAACTGTATCTTACACTTCAAAATCTTAAATTCATTTTTAAGGTGTAGAAGTGCTGTGCATGGATCAGATCGGATCGAATTTAGCACATTTCGGATCAGATTTTCGGATTTCGGATTCTAGTAAATGCAATCCGATCCGATCCGAATTAATATCAGATTGGATCGGATTTTAAAGTTTGGATCGGATCGGATTTTCGGATTTCGGATTTCGGATTTCGGATCGAATTATTATGCCTCAAAGTTGCAAACTCATATGTATATTTTCTTTGTAAAAGAGGCATTACAGTAAGAAAAATTCATGTTTATACAATTATGAGAGTACTATGGTGCCAATAGAGCTAAATCCATCAATTGTAAAGATAATAACTTGGAGAAAAATGTAAAGGAAGTACTAATTATCCGAATTAAAGTTTAGAATTTATACATGCCCTAATAATTTCGGATTTCGGATCGGATCGGATCGTATTAAAATTATACCAATCCGAATCCGATCCGAAATCCGAAATTTTAATAAACACAATCCGAAATCCGATCCAATCCGAAATCCGAAATACGAAATTGAACGGATCGATTCGGATTTCGGATATCCGATCCAAATGAACAGCCCTATAGAACTTGTTAAGAGCCACTATTTTCCTCTTGCCATTGGCTATTGTTTCTGTTGGTGTACCTAAATTTTTAATCAAAATACGCAATATTTAGTTAAATAATAAAAACACTTGTAATAGAACTACAATTTTATAAATCAAAATTAACATAAAAAGACAACAATAGAAGTTTTACTAATAAAAATAAACATAAAAACAAAGGAAAGAGAGAATCAAGGGGGTTTGTAGTCTACAGATAGCTTTTGTTGAAGAAATTTTTGTACAACTTGACTTTTAAATTATACAATTTATTCAAGAAATAACTTTTAACTAAAAAAATTGCTTTTAAGTTTTAAAGTTATTTTATCAGGAAATTTTTTAGATTGAAAAAGAGTCAAAATAGCTAGACCACACACATGCAAACAAAATGGGCAAGATAACTTTGAACTCGTGAACAACACATCACTTTGAAACCTTTGTACCGCTTGATTGCCTCACTCAATTACGTTAAGAATATTTAAAATATAATATGTAATTATATAAAGTAGTATTTGATTTATATCCGTAATATAATTTTTGACGAAGGGTGTTAGCGTCACCACCTTGGCATAGTGTAACTACGCCACTGCCTCTTACTGATCATTTTGCATCTGCATGGCCTCGGGCCCCAATATTTTTGTCAAGACTCCGCGATAGTCTAATAAGTTTAGCCAACTCCATTCTTTTTCATCCGTCTCAAGTCTTCCTTTATTATGTTACTTTCAATAGAAGCCTCCCTACAAATTATTAGAGTTAGAGTACTGTCTCTTTTCTTAAGTTTTCTGTATGGAGACAAATTATCATATTAATTGACTGATTTGCCCTTCAGAGTGAATGCAAAATAATGCACGTTGAAAAAGTGTATCCAACGAAGAATTATGAATAAGAAAGCTTTTCTTAAGAGTCAAAGCATACGATCATTGTTTTATCCAAAAAAACTGTTTTAAAAAAAGTTGGCACCTAAGGGTGTGATTTCTTCTCATTTGGAGTAGCTAGTATTCAATAGTACGTACAAGCTATTAGAGAAAATATTAAAAACTTGTCTATCAATGTGCTTGCTTTTTCTGAGAATAAAAATATACTGAAAGGCTCTTTGAAATGTTTGGTACAATAAACAACGGAGGATTTGAAACGCTAAATCACAAATTCCATAATACACCATTTAGGTCCAAATTTAAGCCTAACTTCCTGCCTACCTACCAAATTAGAAGTTGAATAATCCCTTAATATTTTAAAGATTTCAGCCATAAATTTGAATGTTCTCCGATTCTTAAGATAATACAGTACAGTATTGGGATTTTATATTTGATCAAGTAAGCCCCCGTTTGGTCATAAATTTTGCCAATTTTTTTCCAATTTTTTTTCTTGGGCAAATACCTGTTTGTTTATAGATTTTATTCATATTTTAACAAATATCCAAATTTTAAAACCCAAAACCAGCTCAAGAGTTGTTTTTGGCCCAAAATATTACCGTTTAGTTTTTAAAAAAAATTCAAAAATTGTCCCAAACTTTTTTATTTTATAAAAAAACTCACTTTCTGTTATTATGACCCAACTAATCCATATCTACCCAATTTTTTCTCATTATAAACAGAAAAAAACCTTCGCTAAAGTTGTTGTGCCAATCTGTGGCAATCCATCACAAAGACAAAATTTGAAGGTAATTTGCTAAAATCTTCTAATGTTTGTATAGATTTTCTTCAGATTTATTTCGTTTGTTTTGTATGAATTTTCTTCAGATTTGTTTCGCTTGTTCTGTATGAATTTTCTTCAGAGTTGTTGGGTATTTTTGATAGTTTTTAAAACTTATGAGTATAAGTCATATTTCATTTTTTTTTTTAAAAAGTAAAATATATTTTGAAAAATTATGTCCAAACAAATTTTTATCTTCAAACTAAACTTCACCCAAATCAAATTTTTTAAAATAAAATTGAGAATTTATGAACTAAGGCTAGCTAAAAGATTACAAAAGAAAAAAGAGAGAAGAAAACTTGATAGTAAGATAGAAGAACGCGTTGACGCCGATATTTTTGTTTACGAGGGTCAATCTCATGACTTAGCTAAACGCTATTATAAGCACCTATTTTTCGTACATGTATGGCCAATCATCTAACTCTCCTCCTTTACCTACCACCGGCAATCTCTAATTATAATATTCGGTCCGTCTCAATAAGTAATACAGTATATTTTTCAAAGAGTTTTAATCTTTATATACTGCTAGTATAAATAGTTTATATATTATAACGATATAAATCAGTTATACGTAATTGCATGTATCATAAAAGTTTATCACTTTTTTACGGTGTGAATTTCCTATACATTAAGTAGGGTTCGATTCCCTCCTTTAATTTCTTCCTTATTTACTCTTCTCTAACCTAGTTATTATCTATGTAATAGAAAAGAATTTAAAAAAAGACTATAGTAAAAGTTCATCTTTCTGCATGTTTTTTTTTTAATTTCACGTTATAAATGCATGCAGATAGACATTAATCTCCCTCGTCTTGTATGTAATTCCAATCGTTATGTCATGCATTAGTAAATTAAGAATTGGGGATTTGACTGGGAAGTTTTGGAATTACATTTTCATGGACAGAGAGCAGAGATAAATACATACTTGTAATAGATTTTGTATACTTATTTGAGATATTGGGAAGGGGAAGGATATTTTATCAAGTCAGTTTGCAAATATCTCAACTATGCAATTAATTAGTACACGACTTCAATCTTA